CCTTCTACATACTCCTCCAGTACCATATATTTCCCTTCCCAAATACCATGCCCCCACCCTCCCTGTTTCTATGGCAACCATTAGTAAGCAAGTGAAGCAGAGGCTTACAGAGTGTATGGATGGAAGAAACTAGACTGCCAGGTGTTCATGCAATCAGAACATCAGGAGGAGGCATCACCCATGCATCCTGATATAGGCAAATTCACGGCTTCTTCCAGGTGTTCCTTTAAACTCCTTTTTTTAAGCTCTGGCTTTCCTGATCCTGGTCTGGATAGCTGCCACTTGGACTGCCCTACAGCCATCTCATCTCTCCTACTCTTTGTCTCTAACCTTCACCTAAAGAATTCTGAAGCTGCTTTTTGTTCAAGACATTTCGTGTCAGCTTTACCATGTTAGTTGCAGGGTTCCAAGCAACACCCCCAACAAAAGAAGACTCCGAGGCTAGCAATTCCTCAAAGCTCCATTTTCTTAGAGATGTCATATTGGCACATCTGGGAAAACCCAAATCTAAAAGTTCGGCCAAACCAGGCCAAGCCAGAAGCAATCCGTCTCTGATAAACACCCTGGGAAGTCATTGCTGGTAAATAAAGCTTAATATTTCCCAAGGAACTGCTACTGTTTTCCCTTTTTTCTTAGTAACTTTTATAACCAATTAATATTATTGTCACCTCTGCATTCAAATCCTTCCATCCTCACAGTTGGCCCAGAAGTGGATTTTAGATGCCACCTCAATTGTTTATTTTAATCCTTCTGGCAATATTATTTGAGGATGAATAAATTCCACAAGCTGGTCTTTTTAAACATCAATATGTAATCAAAAGTGTTTGAACTGCAAAAGAAAGTACAGAGATCTTTTCTTCTTGCCACTGACATAAAATATTAATTGTATAAAAGAACCTCAACATTTTTTGTTTTTTGAACAGGGATAGAGAGTTCCTTTTCTCTCTGGAGGAAGAGAATTAGAGTGTAAACAGAGGATAGAATTTGTGTACAAAATCACAAAATCCCACTCAACCATGAGCACATCAGAAACATAGCATCTGAGTTACTATGGCAGGCAGTACAACTGTAGTACTATCATACTATTTTTATAAGAGGTAGGAAAGAGAGTTTCTATCTGGCATAAATCGTATCGATGGATGTTTATGGAATTCCTAAGGTAAAGGTAAAGGTTTCCATCACACATATGTGCTGGTCGTTCCCGACTCTAGGGGGCGGTACTCATCTCTGTTTCAAAGCCAAAGAGCTAGCCTTTCCAATGATGTCTCCATGGTCATGTAGCTGGCATGACTAAATGCCGAAAGTGCATGGAACACTGTTACCTTCCCACCAAAGGTGGTTCCTATTTTTCTACTTGCATTTTTACATGCTTTCGAACTGCTAGTTTGGCAGAAGCTGGGACAAGTAACGGGAGCTCACTCCATTATGCAGCGCTAGGGATTCAAATTCGAACCACCAAACTTCCAACCTTTCTGATCGACAAGCTCAACGTCTTAGCCACTGCGTTCTTATGGAATTCCTATCTGCCTTTATTATGTGCATAGAACAAGAGTCAAAATGCCTTTGTTTGAATGCATAGTTGAACCATGAGTTGTTTCGACATGGATGAACAATGGTCCACCCGACCACCAGACCAAGGTTTCAAGGTCTTCTGAAATGCCATCAGCCACTACACCAAGATCATGGTGAGAAGAACTTGTGTGTGGTTCCTGTGATCATCCGTTATCTTTTGATATTGCATTGAAGTCAGTGACCTGGATCTACTGCAGACTTGGCTATTGGGCCACGTTTTGCCCTTTCTCCTTTGCGATGGCTCTTTTATGTAAATAGATGTTCAGATATACAGATGTATTTCTTTTCTTTCCTACTATCTAATTTTTGTCTTTTCTGTTCAATTCCATGAGCCACCACAACCAGTCAGAATTAGACCCTCCAGGCCAGATACCGCTCTGGTACGGTGCTTTGGAGGGCCGACCCGCCCACCTTCGCTTCTTACCATCCTTTTATGTCTTCAACACTTCTGCGCACGTGCACAGTGCATATAGTGCCTGCGTGACGCTCCGCTGAGCATCTGGAGCATCACGGAGGCTCGCAGAAGTGCCAAGACGCATGCACGGGCTGTGCGTGCATGCGCTGCACACGTCAATGTGGATGCCGGCAAGCCCGTTCCAACCGCACCAGTTGGAACGGAATCCGCAACCCACCACTGCTCCAGGCACCAGATAACTTTCATGGGAATTCATCAGAGGAGCTCCAGGCTTCACATTTTGTATGTCAGGCATAACTGTAAATATTTGAAATTGGTGTCACAACCATTGAAGAGCTGTGGTGGTGCAGTGGTCAGGGTTAGGTAGAATGCAGTACTGCAGGCTGCTTCTGCTAACCGCTAGTTCGATTCTCACCAGCTCAAGGTTGACTCAGCCTTCCATCCTCCCAAGGTTGGTAAAATGAGGACCCAGATTGTTGGGGGTAATAGGCCCAAACTGCTATAAACTGCTTAGAGAAGGCTGCAAAGCACTATGCTATATAAGTCTAAGTGCTGTTGCTATCAGTGACTCAATAAACCAAATCCAAGCCAGAGTTAATATGTGCTGAACTGCTAGAAACATGATTCAGTTTCTATATATTGATTGGTTTGATTGATTGATTACATGCTATCAAGTTATTTTCAACTCGTAGTAACCACGTAGATTGTTTTTCTCCACGACAATTGATCCATAACTTGTTTTTCAAGTCTCCCAGTGATGAGCAACTAGGATGATGAGGGGACTGGAGACTAAAACATATGAAGAATGGTTGCAGGAACTGGGCATGGCTAGTCTAGTGAAGAGGAGGACCAGGGGAGACAGTCTTCCAATATTTGAGGGGCTGCCAGCGAGAGGAGGGGGTCAAGCTGTTTTCCAAAGCACCTGAAGGCCAGACAAGGAATAATGGATGAAACTGACCAAGGAGAGATTCAACCTAGAAATAAGGAGAAATTTTCTGACAGTGAGAACATTCAGCCAAAGGAACGCTTGCCTTTGGAAGTTGTGGGAGCTTTCAAGAAGAGGTTGGACTGCCATTTGTCAGAAATGATGTAGAGTCTCCTGCTTGAGTGGGGGGGTTGGACTAGATGACCTATAAGATCCCTTCCAACTCTATTAATCTGTTATTCATTCATTAATTCATTCATTCACACAATCACATGGTATAGATCAAGGGTTACTGCAGGACAAGGAGCTAAATCTGCTTGCCTGCACCCTCAATTCCTAGAGAAGAATTAATATCACATATACAGAGGGGACAGTGATAACGAAGGAGGATCAGTTGCCAATAATTTATTGGAATTGTGAATTTATTCAAATACTTTATTCAACGAGAAGAATATATTCCATGGTTAAACTCCATCTTCTGTGTAAAATGATACCAAGCTCTAGATCTACACTGCTTTACATTGCAATGCACATTTGGGGTACTGCTATTTTATATAAAAGATATTTGTCTAACAGATAGCAGTTGGTTACATTTGTGATTGCTGATTCCCTTTCCTAGATCAAATCTAAAGAGGACTTTCTCCCATTTTGGATTTCATTTCTTCTATTTCTGCCACATTCTCAAAACCTACCCTAAAAAGCTTTGCCAAAACTTCTCCAAAATGATGCTAAAGTGAAATCAGTGAGGCAGAGAAAGCTCTGTCCTAAATTCATGCTCACCTACTTCTCCTATATGCAGTCACTAGGATTGGAGCCCCATGGAAGATCTTGAGATATTCAATCCTGGATTTGCATAAAGAAGAAACTTGCTCCAAACCTTCACATTGTCCTTCTCAGGGATATCCATATGGATTCTAAAGAACATGGGAAACAAGACAGAAATTTGTGGACCCTCAACAATTCCCAAAAAGTCTAGCAAATTATTCCTCTATTACTTTTTGATTGCACTCAAATGGTAAACAGAACACTACTGCAAACCAAAGAGGATCATGATTCTAGGTGCTTCAAACACTCCATCAGGTTATTGTGCTCTGAAATTCAAATTCAAATTCCTGGACGATCCAAACTTATCAAGAGAGTCACATGGTCCAATCAATCCACCATCCCAAGAGAAGACAGACCCCAGTCACTCCTACCCAAGTGCAGGCTGAATATCCTTGACTCCCAGAGAAAAGAATGTTGTTATGGCTATATATCTCCTCCAATTCCTTGCAAATCCCCCCTCCCATTTTCCCAGGGCACTAAATGTGGCAACCCTGAAGCTCCAAAGAAAAAGATGGCTTCCAGGTCTGACAGTTAGCTTCAGTTTCACCATTTGCCTTTGCTTCCACTTGCTTACCTAAGGGTAGTTGGCTTGCAGTCCCAGGCATATATAGGTCTCTTGACTAGAAGACATTGTGTTCCCAATCCAGGTCTGAACTCAGAATGCACCACTGGTTTCCTCTTACAGCACTTCCACTTGGCTGCCATCTCCAATGTTCCCAAAGTTCATAATTATTCCTTCCAATGGTTTGTCATTGTATTTACAGCAGCTGTTGTAGGAAAGTACCTGAAGGCCAGAGAAGGAATATTGGATGGAAACTGACCAAGGAGGGATTCAATCTAGAAATAAGGAGGAATTTTCTGACAGTGAGAACAATCAATCCATGGAACAGAAGTTGCCTTTGGAAGTTGTGGGAGCTTCATCACTGGAGGCTTTCAAGAAGAGACTGAACTGCCATCTGTCAGAAATGGTGTAAGGTCTCCTGCTTGAGCAGGGGGTTGGACTAGATGACCTATAANAACTGCTAGGTTGGCAGAAGCTGGGACAAGTAACGGGAGCTCACTCCGTTATGCAGCGCTAGGGATTTGAACCACCAAACTGCCGAGCTTTCTGATCGACAAGCTCAGCGTCTTAGCCACTGAGCCGCCACATCCCTCCCTTTCCTATAGCCACATTGAATTCTTCTGCTTTCCTCATTTTCTGACCTGGTTGGCATTTGTGTAAATTCTTGCACAGTATTTCTACAAAATGTTTCTACTCTCTAAGGATTCCCTGCTTTCTTCAGCTTCTTTCTCCATTAGCTTCTTCTATAATGGGATTCTATCTACCAATGGTCCAAGGTTGTTAAAATCTGCTTTTTTGAAGTCCAGAATAAACGTTTGACTGCTTTAGTTTTCTGCAACATCAAGAAGTCTAGCAATACATGGTCACTTTTCCCCAAGTGTTCCTCCTGGTTCTACTTCCTCATTTATGTCTTTCTAATTGATTAGTATGAAGTCAAGATTAACCAATTCTCCTGTGACTTTCTCTATCCTCAGAAGGAAAAAAGCTGTCAGAAAGACAAGTCAGGAATTTTGTGAGAGGATCATGCTTGGCAGAGTTTGTCTCTCAACAGATGTTGAGATAATTAAAATTTTCCATCACTTTGCCTCCAGGCCTTTTTGAAAGATCTCCAATTTGCTCTTGGAGAGCATTATCCACCTTCTTCTCCTTGGTCTGGCAGTCAACACCTCGCATCTACCACAGCATTGGATTTATTTGTTCCTCCAGGATTATTTTAATCCAGATGTTCTTTGTAGCATTGCCAAGGTCTCTTGCATAGATGTCTGATTAGGGATTTTTAACGTCGAGAGTTTTTCCTCCTCAATTTCAATTGATTTGTTGCTTTGAATAAAAGAGTTGCTCTATCGTAGTTGTGGGCAATGCTCTATCAAGTGACCATTCTAAATGAAATTCATTTTTCCATTCAAACCATTCAAATTCTTCTCATTTGTTTTCCATACTCTGAGCATAAGTCCATAAGACAATGAACGCCATGAATTTTATGAGGCAGAATGGTTTTTCATCAAGTAAATTAAGAAGCCCAATTTTAGCATTACTCCCCTTTTCTATTCTTTCTCATGGGTCTTTACTCTCAAGTTTTTCATTTCAACACACATTCCCACACACAAACATCTCCAAAAAGGTGTTCAGTTTAAAGCCCACCCATGGTCCCAAATCAGGCTAGGAGGTAATCCTGTTTTCTAACAGTCCTTATGAAGAAAAAACAAACTTATACTAGCATTTCATTGTCTATGTTGTGGAACTAAGGAGAAATTTCCTGAATGTTAGAACTACACAAGTCAAAAAGGGGGCTATGAAAATATCTACTGATGCCTCACATCCTGGACCTAAATTGTTTCAATGTCTACCCTCAAAACAAAACTGAAGGGCACTGCACACCAGAACAACTAGACACAAGGACAGTTTTTTTTCCCCTGAATACCATCATTCTGCTAAAAGAATAATCCCCAGAAACACTGTCAAATTATCTACTAAGACTGTATTACTATTATTCTTCTCTTCCTTCCTAGTACTCATCTCTTTCCTAGTACCTATCTCTTTCCACTTATGACAATAACCATGTTGCTTGTATCTTTAAAATTTATATTGTTTTATTTGTTTCCTAGTATAATTTGATTGCTTATTAGAACCTATGACTATCACTAAGTGTTGTAACTTGATTCTTGATAAATGTATTCTATTCTATTTTTCTTCATGTACACTAAGAGCATATACACCAAAGACAAATTCCTTGTGTGTCCAATCATACTTGGTCAATAAGGAATTCTATTTTATGCTATTCTATTTTATTCTACCTTCAACGTCTGAAGGCAAGCTGTTCCGCTAGTTAATTGTCCTCACTATTAAGTTTCTCCTTATTTCTAGGTTGCAACCACTCCAGCAACCACTCCAACCATCTCAGACTCTGGGCCTTTGCCCCCCCTCCTTGCATTTCTGGACCCACAAGAGGGAGAGGGACTGTGGAACTCTCCCTCCTTTCTATCATCATTGGTTTCCGACCGCGATTTCTGCACAAATCCANAAAAACGGGCCCGTTTTTGGGAGGTTTGCAGAGTGCCTTTTGGAAAGCTCTTTAACTGATTGATGAGAATTACATTGATCAAGTGCTGTGCCAGCAGAAACATCTACTTATCTACTGTATTTCTCTCTCTATTTCTCTCTCTCTCTCTCTCTCCCTCTCTCCCTTTATCTACCTACCTACCTATACTCTCTCTCCCTACCTACCTACTGTATTTCTCTCTTTCTCTCCCTCTCTATCCCTCTACCTACCTACCTCCTTTTTTAAAAAAAAATTGCCTCTTCAAAACCTTGGTGTGTCTTATACTTCGGTGCATCTTATACTCCGAAAAATACGGTATATGTTAGCTGGAATGTTTGCTGAACTAAAATTCATTGGAATAGATCCTAAATTAGTCAGGTTTTTGTTCTTTTCACTTCATGAGCCTGAAGCACTCCTCATTAAGTCTGGATCCAACTCTATTGATACTTGCTGATTTGCGAATCTGATGTTGTACTAACTTAATACAAGGCCCAAACTCTGTGTTATAAAAATCTGGAATTTTCTATTTTTCAGCTGTGTTATATTATCTCTGGAACACACTACTTGTCTCCACTGCCTTTGACACAAGCTTTTTCTCTTCCATTTCTGTAGGATTCTCAGCCATCTCCACTAGCCCTGCTTGCAGCCACATGTAGCAAGATTGGCCCTCCAGCTATAGAAGCAGCTATTCTTTCTTCTGCTCCTCCTCAACCTGCCCCTCGGAAATTGGTTCCTATTAAGCCTGCTCCACTCCCACTAGGTTCTAACAAGAACAACATTGGAATCTTATCAAAAGGAAACCTCTTCCAAATTCAAGGTTCTCAACTGGGCACCTCATATCCTGGTGGACAGCTGGTATTTACAATCCAGAACCCAGCTGTAAGCAGCAAAGGAGCCCTCTCTTCTTCCAATATTCAGTATCGGGCGGTACCACAGAACCAAACAACATCAGGACAGATGATTCAGGTGCAGCAAAATTTGGGCAATCAAATGCAGATTCCCAGCAATATCACCCCTTCTTCCTCTTCATCAGCTCATAGGCCTGTGCCAATAAAGCCAGCTCCAGCTCATAAGTCATCAGTAGCTGCTCTCCACAACACAAGCAGTGTTGTCAAGTTAACTGACACCAGTGGCAATGTTACACTTACACTTCCAGTGAACAATCTTGTAACTGCTGGGGAGACTAGTACTCAGACTCAAATTGTACCTGGCAGCCCCTCTAAGCCAAGCAGAAAAGCTCGAAAGAAAATGGTACCACAAGCTCAAACAACTGCAATGGCTGTGACAGAGCAAGTTGAAGCAGTCTTAATAGAGACTACAGCTGACAACATCATCCAGGCAGGGAACAATCTGTTGATTGTACAGAGTCCTGGCTCTGGGCAGCCAGCTTTGGTCCAACAGGTGCAAGTAGTTCAGCCCAAACAAGAGCAACAGGTAGTTCAGATACCACAGCAAGCCCTACGGGTAGTACAGGCAGCCTCCGCTACACTCCCTACAGTTCCCCANCCCCCTAGGAAAAGGTTATGCCCCGCCCTGTACATGCACTGAATGACCTTTTCCCTTTGGGATTTTAGTCACAGGACTATGCAGGATGCACAAAACAGTGCTTAGAAAAGTCTAAAAGACTTTTGTTCCTTCCTGACCCTGGTCATTCTGTTAACATCTTTCCATGGATCTTGCATTTTGTCAGTCATCTCCCCTACCTTTGCAAGTTTATCCCCACAGCTGTAAAAACTAGAGGTTTGCTTTTGGAACACTCCTCATATACAGACCTTGATGAATAAGAGTTGCCTTGTGGCGATATGGGCAGCAAATAAATAAGTTTTCATAATTAGAAAATAATTGCTACTTAGCAATTTAGAATGGATATTTGTAGGATGTGTCAAGCCAGTAGAGAGTATTGCCATCTTTTTAGTTTATTACATACTACAAATGTGTAAGCACCAGAAACAATGCATATAGTTTTATTTTGGTGCTCACCGTTTGCAAAAACATTTGCCTAAATTCCATCTGGCTTTTAACCTTGTGGTTCTTTGGCTGATTGTTTCTATTATGGTGAGCTTATTTTTCTTTCCAAATGTGATAAACAACACACGAAAAAAGTCCTGCTAAGTATTGATGGCATCAATGTCAAATTCTCTCAAATATGTTACAATTTTTTCTCAATGTAATAGTTTTTACACTACTTTTCTAATTTTAATGAATGCAGTCCAACCTTCTGTTTAGTAATAGTTTTGATATCTGTCAGTTTCACTGGCAAATCACAATTCTTTTCTTTTTTCTTTTTGCAGATTTGGAGACAGTATGTCTGCCACTGCTGCAGTTAGCCCCAGGGAATACTTGCAGTCTGCTGCTTCAGCAGCTCAGGTGGGTTGTTTCTGTTGATGGTATTACTGCATAAAAGTTTGTGTGTTTGGCCTGGAATCTTGCACTTTTGAAAGCTTTCTGGTGAAGGTGTTTACTGTAGAGGAGACTCCTACTAGCCTACAAGTATATTTGCTGATTTTATTTATTGGTCTAGAGCAGTGGTTCCCAACGTGGGGGTCCACAGGGGGGCAATTTGATTTTTAATGGGGACAATTTGAACCTTGTCCCCAAACCTGGGCACTTGCTTGGTGTCGAAGCCAATAAGTCACCAGACACAAGGTGTGATACAGAATTATACTTTTATTTTGGTACCAAGATATAAGGACCCCGGTTTGAAAAGCTAACCAAGGGCCAAGATTAGGATCTTACAGCAGTTTTTATAGTCAAGGGATGGTCGCATTCAACCCTTTGCCCTTCCCTTAATAATGCATGCATAACAGATAAGATCGATTGGTTATTTGTATTTCAGCCCCGCTAAACCCTTACGCTTGTTATGTTAAATAGCTAAATGTCACGTCAGCTATTTTTCACCCCAGGTCATGGGTATCTTGCAAAGTGTGACAGCTATGTGGGTTTTGGGGGTTTTCTTATAAGTGAGCTATTCTTGTTCCTAATATCCTGGCTAGTGGTTTTAAGGTGCTAACTTCTATCTCCCTGTTAATGTGCAGCCCCCCCCCTTCCTATTACAGAGCAGAATAATAGAACAGTTTTTATCTGAGGCAGCTCCCTCACAACCCCCCTCCTTCTGCAGAGAAAAGTAAAATCAGTTTAAAACTTTTGCCTGATGCAGCCACCACCACCACCACCACCACTCCCCCCTCCCTCTTCAGTGAGAGAAACAGGAAAGGAGCAATTTGCCTTAATTGTCAAATTCACAATTGTCACTCTCATGTCCATTCCATCCACACCTGGATCCTATCGCCACATATGACCCTTCCTCTGGTCCCCAGGGCCTCATCTGTGCATACATTCCATTATCGGATCCTTCACTTGTTTAAACCATGTTAATGGCTTTTTGGGCTTCTTCCACATGGGTAGAGTTTACTTTTTGAGTAAAGTAAGAATTATATGTTAGTTAATTCTAAATAATGTTAGTTTTTAAGGTATTAGGAGATGCTTTGTTTCTACCACGTATGGCTATTATATACAGAACACTTTGGGTCTCTCAAACTATTATGTACATTCATAATAATTCATATTTTGAATACCATGTTTTTCGGAGTATAAGACACACCTTTTTTCCTCAAAAAAGAGGCTGAAAATCTGGGTGTGTCTTATACACCAAATACAGCATTTTTGGCTCCCGAAGCCCCGCCCCTTCACCAAAATGGCCGTGCATACCCTTATGGAAGCTTTCAGAGAGCTCCTGGGGGCTGGGGAGGGCAGAAATGAGTGAAAAACGGCCCATTTTTTGCCCCCTCCCAGCCCCCAGCAGCACTCTATAAGCCTCCATAAGGCTATGCATGCAATTTCTTT